AATAACAATTTGTAGTATAATTTTAGAATATAGTAAAAAGGAGGAAATAGAGTAACAAAATACATGTGTGGTAATACTAGGAGTCAATCAGGTAAATGAATCTTCCTTACAGTGTATCTCAATTTGTATCAGATTCTTAGGACTACTGCCTTAGTTATAAATGGAGTAGTTCTGTATATAATATGTACATTTGAGACTATGAAGAAATATGACAGGCTTTGGATCCCAGCGGGCTGTTCTTTCCAAATGGGATGGTAAATATTTAAGCATAATGGTGGCATATACTTGACAGTTGAACAAAATATGAGAACTATTTTCAAAGGTGGGATACTGAATATTCATATTTTCAATATGGTAAATGGTCCATAAGAACTGGTTTGGGAACATGCTACTTTTAAGAATGGGAAATACTTCTGAATAAATAAGACAGAGCACTGATGATGGGTAAAAAAAAGATCGCAAGCAACAGCCAAGCTGGGAGAATACCAACTACTCGACAAAAAAACAGCATAATCTTTCTCAGAGAAGTACTTCACATCGAAGAGTGAAGCTACATATATCAAAAACAAAACTAATAAATTTCTGTGATATGATCTTGAATACGTACTCACATATGTACTCACATTTTCAACATCAAGAATAACTTTGAAGTCCTGAATTCATTGAGAGAAATGTGGAATGGAACCAACAACGTTGTTAAAGATTAATGTGAAAAGTATTGATCCAAAGGAAAACCAAACAAGGAAATCAATACCACTCATAGGCTTAAATGCTTTTACTGCCTATAATAATAGAATGTTTCAAGTTTGATTGTGTTGGACTAGAAGACCTCCAAGGTCCTTCCAGTCTTTGATTCTACATTTATAGCTAAAATTCTTAGTAAAGGATTTAATGACAAATTTCAGAAAGCTGTTAAAATAGATATGAATTAGTATTACAACATCTATAAACACATCAAAGATGGAATCAGATATGGGGGGAAGCAAAAGTCTCCTTGGAGACTTTCCTTGTGGGGGGGAGGAACTTGTAGAAATCTGGAATTTCAAATTTCATATTTTTCTAGTTCAAAATGGTCTCACATTGAATTTCCACTAGCTTTGTATATTGACTTCAACATGATTAGTTTTCACAACAAAATAGCAATAGCAAAATAACTTATAATACAGCTTCACAGTGCTTTACAGCCCTCTGTAAGCAGTTTACAGAGTCAGCATATTGTCCCTAACAATCTGGATCCTCATTTTACTGACCTCAGAAGGATGAAGACTGAGTCAACCTTGAGTTGGTGAGAATCGAACTGCTGAACTGCTGGAATTGTACTTCAACTGCCTTAAAATCTTTGAAAACCAACCACTTTCTATAAATTAGGAATGATATCTGTAAAGTCTTTCAAAGATTTTGGTTCAATTTTATTTAAGGGACTCAGAATGATGAGGTTACAGAGGAGTATGAAGATAACATTGAGAAGAAATGCAGAAATAGTTAAATAAATGATAACTCAGTCTTGGGAATGAAGGGATGCTTGAATAGAACTCAAATTAATTCTGTTTTCTTCTTTTTTTAAAGTTTTTATTTAGACACATAAACACATCAACAACAAACACATGACTTAGGACAACATAGGAACCAAAAGTTCCATCAAAAATCATAGGGCAGTTCCGTATTTGTTTCTTTGCCGTTAGTATTTTCCCTTTCTATAATTAGCTATTTATAACCAAATATTGTTTATCTCTAATGTGCTATATATACATACATACAATTCCAGGTAAACATGGTTATTCTTTTTCTTTGCCCATCTTATACTATTGTTATTCCATTTAAGAAATTATAGAGTACAGTTTCGATTGTATTGATTACCATCCCAAGCCTCTATTATGACACCACCTTATTTTCTTTTTCTTCTTTTCTCTCTCTCTCCCTTCCTTCTCTACTTCCTTCCTACCTCCTCTCCTTCCCCTTCTTTCTTCCCTTACCTCTCTCCTACTCTTACCCTCTCTCTTCCCCCTCCTACTCTCCCTCCTTCTCTTTTTTCTCCCTCCCTCCCTCCTCTCCTTCCCCTTCTTTTTTCCCTTACCTCTCTCCTACTCTTACCCTCTCTCTTCCCCCTCCTCCTCTCC